CGGTAATCTGGTCGGGGGATCTGGGGCCGCAAGGTGGTTGCTTGATGCTGCCCAGTGATCTGGTCGGCCTACTCTACACACACACACACACACACACACACGCACGCACTCACGCGCACACACACACACACCGTGCATCCACACATGCATTTGTCTCCCCCCTTACACACACACACACACATGTGCCTGCTGATGCGCTCGGTGACACGAACACGATTCCACACACACACACACACACACACACACACACACACACATTCACACACCCACAGGCGGACTGGCAGCGCAACCCGCTGGACGGCCGGACGCCCCTGGAGCGCGGCGGCGCGTGGGAGGCGCAGGCCGCCATGCCGGGGCGGCGGCTGGCCGCCAAGATCCGCGCGCGGCGCCTGGAGCGCGAGGTGATGACGCAGAATGACGTCATGCATGACGTCATGCATGATTTCATGCAGGGGGGAAGGGGGCCGGACGGAGGGAGGGGCGGGGCGAGGTTTTCAGGTGTCGGGGTGGAGGGAGAAAGGGCCGGGGGCTTGTTCGGCTGCGGGGCCGGAGCGCTGTGGCGGCTGCGGCGGCGCAGGGGCCCGGTGCCCCTTTCGCGTGGCCTGGGTCTGACGCGTGTGTGCATGCTGCTCGTTCACGAACCCTCCTTTTTTTTCTCGCAGGCAGCGGGCTCAAACCTGGAGGGGCCCCTCAAGGAGTACAACCGGCGCCGCGGCATCGTGTCATCAGAGGGCGCCAGCGAGGACGGCGGCGGCGGCGGCGGTGGCGGCGGCGGCAAGCAGCAGGGGCGGGGCCGCGGCGGGGGCCGGGTGGAGTCGGCGCTGGTGGCGGAGGGCCCCGCGGCGGGCGGGCGCGGGCGGTGACGCGGGCCGGCCCCCTCGCGGCGCCCGGGCCGCGGCAGCAGCAGCAGCTTGTTTCTTTCGTTTTGCTCTACCCACCTATGACGTACTCATCTCCCTGTTTCTCTTCCCCTGTGTTTTGGATTCGCCCTTGGTGGTTTTTTCCTGCCCCTCATTCCGGCAGGGCGGACACCCGACTGTCATAAAAGCCCCGGCCCGGTGTCGTGTTTTTTGGGCAGCTGTTGCTGTGACACCATCTGGACGGGCCAGCCCTCCCCACGCGGCCGCCGCGCGGCGCGTCTGTCGCCCCCCGCCGGCCGCGGGCGGGCGGGCGCCGCTCTCATCCCCTGTAATCGTGCCGATAAGAGCCCAAGATGCTTCTCAGTTTTATTCAACAACAGCCACCCTGGGGAAAAGCAAGACCAGCGCAAAATCCCGCTGGCATTCGGTTTGACAGGCAACAGAGGGCAAAAGCCGATGCGGCACCTCGACAGGGGTCAACACACCACGCGGCATCCCCTGACGCAAATCCTGCCTCGCATTTGAGGTTGCGTTTTCGAATTCGAGGCGGCGGGAAAGATGGAAAAACCGGCAAGGACGAGCCTCGCACAGAAGGGCAGCCGCCCGGCACCCGCGACAGCGGCCGCGCGCTCACGGCGGCGCCGTCCCCGCGGCCGCCGCCCGTTGGATGGCACCCATCTCATAGACGCGGGCGCCCTTGGGGGCGCCGGCCGCCAGGAAGCGCTCCGCGTCAGCGACCATAACCTGCCATCAGCAGCAGTTCAGCAGGCGGAGGGGCGGAAATGGGTCGCATTCCAGCAAAGCTCGCCCTGGACACGCGGCCGCTAGGGGCCGCGGCCGACCCGTGCGCGAGGGCCGCCCGCCGCCAGACCCGCGCCCGCGCCGCCTCCGCCGGCGCAGAGGCCCTCCAAAACCGCGGCCGGCCCCCGCAAAACGCGCCCGCCCCCCCTGGGCGCTGGCTGCGGCAGCCGGATTTCGCACTGGAAGAAGGCACACGGGCCTGCCCAGCAACGCGGAGCAGCTCAGGAAAACATACCCCCCCCCTTGTGTCCCCTGCCGAACAATCCCCCGCCCAAACACACACACACCCCACCTTAGCCACGTCAGCCGCCGCCACCGAGTTGGCGATCCCGCTGAACCACCGCTCCACCCGCCGCGCCTTGTCGCCGCGCTGCAGCAGCCCGGGGCGGAACACCCCCACCGCCTCAAAGCCCTGGCCCTTCACCGCCTCCTCCGCCTGCGAGGGTCCGGATCGTTGATGTTAAGATCATTAGTTTTTGTCGTGGGTGAAAAGGAAGCTTCTCGTTCGGTTCGCGTGCGTCCGGGGGGGGGGGGCGTCGCGAGCCGATCCGGGGCGGCGCAAAGGGGCGGACGCCGACTCGTGGCGACCGGGCGGCCGCTTCGATGGGGATTGCCGCGCCGTGGGCGACCAAAACGGCGCCGTCGTGAGGGGGGCGGTTTTCGGCTCCGGACGAGAGCAGCCGGGGTCTGATCGGGGGCGGGGCGGCGCCGCAGGAGCACGCGGCGGC